CCAGTACAGACATCCACATGTCTTTGAAATCAAGCTCAGAATCTGAGCATATATTTTAAATGATGTCATCTTTGTCCTGTATTTTCAATGTAATGGTTAATTAACTCCTCTGTTTCCACCATGCATATCTCAGTTTTCTGCTTTCAGCTCATTCGCATTCAGGAATTCATGGACTAAACAGGTAACTTTGCACTGCTCTCTCCCTCTATTCCTAGATTTGGGGGCTATCTTTATGGCTTGAAAGAGTAGAAAACGAGAAAATAGGACTGCTATCCCTATCCCAAAGCAAGTCACAGTAATGAAGGATTGGAGGAAACTTGGAGTGTAGATGAGTAGATTAGAACAACCGAAGAGCATTCAAAAAATAAAAACTGCATTCCACTCAGGAGAAGAAGGAAGAATGACCTGGGTCAAGCCCTACGGGCCTGGGAGTTTAAGAAGAGCAGGTTCATCAGGCTTAACTAATGTAAACCAGAGATTAACAAGAGCCAGACAAGGTCCTCCAAGTCTCTGGAAACAGACTTTGAGGGAATACCTCTCTTCTCCCAAGAGGAATGGGGGTAGCTATAAAATGAAAGACTTTAGCCTACTAAATCAGGTTGAATCACATTTTTTGATGTCAGAATGGAAAAGCTTGCAGACATTCAAAATCTGTTTTGCAGAAAACAAAATGTTTACTCCACAGAGATAAAAGACTTGGAATGTAAACACACTCACTGACTGAAAAGCAGTCACACTGACAGGGCAATCAGTCATTCAAAGGATGGGGGAAAGGGAGACTTATCAGATGCTCTGGGGTGAGGGGTGAGAGCAAGAGGAGTCTCACTTTAAGCGTGGGAAGAATTGGTAAGAAGACAAGAAAGGAAACCTTCACCCACTTGACAAATTCTACTAGAGATTCACGATATGAGTCCTCCTGTTTCTTCCATTTGCTTGTGAACTTCTCGAGACCAGCTTCTCTGCCGCACCTACCACAGAGCCTGTGGTGCAATTGGTTAGAGTGAAATCATTCTTGTTGATAGTTCCTCCTCCACAGCACTGATTTTGAGTAAAGTGACACCACACAGCGGGTAGATTTCTTACCCAGTGTCGGCTGCTGTACAAAAACTCAAAGTCCCCTAAAAAGGAAACCTGTTTCAAGCCAGCATCTGCTTGCTGAGATTGGAGGTCAGTGAGTAACAAATTTATCCTTTTCTCTCCTTTGTCTTACTTGGACAGTTTCACTTTCAAGCTCATTTTCAGAATTTGTCTTGATTAATACAGATTTGCTAACACTGTGACCATTAAGCCGTATATCCTACAAAGAGCTAACTGGAGTCATAACTCACATAAATCCTCAAGAAAAGCTTTTAAAAAACTCCCACTACAATAGTCAGATGAATTCATCTTCTATGACATTCTAATTTTTTCCCCCAAAGAGTGGTCTTCTATGTAATTCTTTATGCTTAGGATTGTTAGCTATTATGACAATTTAATGGAAACAAGATTCTTGTTTTGAAAGTGCATAGATAGGAAACAGGTGTAGATGAATATATTCTGCTAATCATTAGTGTTTCTACCCACTGTTATTGAATCCATCCTGACTTATATTAACTCTCCATCAGATTCGTTGGGCTGTAAATCTTAATGAGAGCAGTCATCGTGGTTAGCACCACAAGATGCAGCCCACTAAGATACCACAACTGTTAAATTTCTGTTGTTGTGGTGTGCCAGCAAGTTGGAATCCACCCATCGCTGACCCTCCAGTGGGTTTCAGAGGCAGTAAATCACATGGAAGGAGGTTGCCCATCCTTCTTCCGCAGAGCAGGAGATTCCAAATGAGTGCGTTTGGGATTATGGCACAGCTTCTTAGCACTACACCACCAGGGCCTAATTTATTAATAATTACTAAATTATCTACTAACTTATTAGTTATTTGCTAAATAATGAATATTGTTAATACAACCACTTCATAACAAGTCAATAGCAAATTTATTAATCTAAATTATCTAAATTATGCCTCACTAAGCCAGTTGTCATGAAATTCATCTCCTCCTCACTGCAGTCCCGTGTGTAACAGAATAGAACTATGCCCTCTCCAAATTTCAGTGACAGATTTTTCTGAAGTAGGCTGTCACATTTTTCTTCCAAGGCACAAGTCCATGAATTCAAAGCATCAACCTTTCGATAAATAGACAAATGTGAAAAGGGATCTTTATTAGTATCATTACCTATTTAATAATGTCAGTAAAATCTGAATAATATGCGATCATATGTTAATATGTAGTTAACACTTAAGAGTAGGCATTAGTCATCTATTTTTAATCTAGAACAGTAAGCTCTACAAAAATTTATTTCTTCTTCAGGATGAGTGATTCAAGAACCTTCCATGAACTATGTCACCTGAAAGAAACTCAAAGCTATCTTAATAGTGAAGTATGGTTGTGAAAATAGATCCTTACGGAAGCAGAGAGCTGCCTGTAAACCACATAACCCAAGAGTAAACCAACTTTAAATGCATTGAGTATTTAATAAACTTATAAGTGGTGCTTTTGATTTTAAATGATGGAAGTCATTTACCGATCTTTCTAGTCTCTGCATCTACCACAATGTCTGGCGTATAACTGGTGTTAAAAAATGCCCAGTGAACGATTTTTTTTAAAGCCGGTCTTCTTTGATTTATCCACTAGGTGGCATACAGGGACCATGCTTCGCACACCAAACGGCCACAGAACCTCCCATTCATAGTGTAAATAAAGAGCTGCATTATTAATTTATACCATCTCAACGTCCACTCTACACCTAATATTTGTTTAACCAGCTGTTTCCTCTAATCCTCCTTAAACACTATTGATTAAAACCCTAAGTGTATTCAGGTATTCACCCCTCCCCACATTTCCCCAAGCACATTTTGTTACCTTTAAATGACAGGTTAAGCATATTAGATGATATAGGCTAAGTACCTTGGTTACTTATAATGGAGGCAAGGTGTCAACAATTTAATTAGAAGAAATGAAAGAGTATCATCATGTCAAAATGATTTTAAATTTGTTCAGTATTTTGTCGGAATTTTGATGGCCAAAATACTATTACTTTAAACAAAATATAAGCTATAAAGCATGCACAGGTAAAAGGAAATGAGAAGGAAACTAGTCTTTTATGAAATTGGTATTTATTTTCTGAGCATGGCTCCTGTTCACTTTTATGAGATGAAGATTCTAAAGACTTCAACTGCTCAGAATATACAAATATTCCACACCCAAAGTTTCAAAAGACAGGACTGTTTAGTAGATCATTTACTTATAAAGTATCTTCATACTCCAACCCTATTTATCCTGGATGTGTTACTCATTCCCAAAGGAAGGAAAGGGAAGTGAAACCATGAGGAATATAATGAATTGATTCTTCTCTATGAAAGTCTTTTCAGTACTTCTAAATTACAGTGTCAGTCATGCCTCAGAGAGACAGGGCTTTGCTGAAAATAAATGGCTTGCTTTATAAGAACACAGGCTTCCTCTCTTTTTCATCCCATAGAGAAGGCTCAGCTTTACTGGGCACTCATGTTGAGAGATTGGTCTCTGGGTATATTCCCCATTTTTAAGTTGTTGGTTTTCTCTTACTTAGTTATCTCTATGTGAAATTACTTGTTTATCTAATTTTCCTATTTTTAAGCTGTTTTCAATTTAGTGAAGGGGTTACCTAAATATGTAAACTCCTTCCCTTTACTGAAACAGTTAAATTATTAAGAAGAGATAATGCAAAACGGTCTAGGCACTTAAATACTTTAGGCTTCTTTGGCGTATATCCTATTTTACTAAATAGAAGAAAAATGCAGCTTTCATTGGAATCAAAAGAATTAAAATTAAGAACTGATGTGAAATTTCACACTAAAAGTTACCCAAAGAGAACTTTGATGATATATTTTTTGAAGAACAATGCTTTCCTTTTATTATTTCATTAAAACACTGAAGTCATTGGAGTGTGTATAAAATTGCTGTGAATTTAGTACATTGAAACAGCCAAGTAGAACTGGTTACCAGAAAACCACATTTGCAATGAATAAATATTATATTTCATTTTAAAATTAATTCACTGACTCCATTTCTAAAGAGGTGCTAGCTTCCAAGAAACCAGCTTAGTATGTTTGATTTTATGACGTCACACTGGAACATGAACAGGAACACTTTCCACCCTAAAAATCCCCAAATGTCCTGACAACTTTGTGTATTTTTCCAGTGACAAATAAAAGAAAACAACTTATTTTCAAAAGAATAAACCATCTTATTTTTTAATCCAAAAGTTATTTTTAATGAAAGAAAACACTTCACCTAAACACCAAAGTGTTTAGGCTTGCTTTGGGTGCAAATAATTCCATCAAATTATGTTTAAAAGAACAACTATGATTTTTAGCAAATTTTCAGCACAGGAAAATTCTCCATCAACACTATTCTATGTACAAATGCATTGTAATTCTATGGCCTTAATTTCATCATAGGTTGGGAAAACCTAGACCCCAAATGGTTAATATTTCAAAAATTTTTAATCTAACAGGTACATTTTTGAGCCCACATAAGTCAACACATCACCAAAAAGAAAACTCATAAATCTGGAATGGACATTCCCATTCTTCACCTCTTCTTCAGCCTACACTATTTTTTTTTTTTAAATCTCAGGTGCTATAAAAACGCTTTGCTGAAATACAGATGGAAAAGTCACCACTGGAATCCAGGATTCCACCAGATTTACAGCAGCACTAGAAAAAAAGCCAGGCTATTACAGCTAATGCTTTTCACAACTTTAGACTGAGTCCATTTATTGTAGTGCAGTACTTTATCTGACAAAATAAACCTTAAAAATCAAAGGGAAGATGTTGAGATGTCATGTTAAACTCAAATGAAAATTAAAGAAAAGAAGGAAAATGTTTCTAACATATACATAGATCAAGCTATGAATTGTTCTCTGGAATCTTGATGGCATCAAGGTTTGACCCAAAGAAGAAAACAAAGTTCTGGAAGTTTTACCTTGTTCCGAATTCCAGAAGGTCAGATGCTCTCAAGTCCTGCTGATGTTGGAATCTGGAGATGAAGTGAAGCTAGCGCTCTTTCCCCTCACCTTAAGTTTGTCTCTGTTGAGTGTGTGTGCGCATGTGTATGAGTTGGAGAGTGAGTGTGTGTGTGTGTGTGTGTGTGTGTGTGTGTGTGTGTGTTCGCAGAATGTCTCTTTGTGGCTCTGGATGGCAGAGGTCCTGATCCTGGGAAGAAGGAGGCACTTTCTCACTAAAAGCAGAAGAAAAGCAAAGCGTCACCAGGAAAGTTCTACCAGATCCCCTAATTACAGCCTAACGTGCACTTCTTGCAAACTTCAGGGAGGAAGGGAGGGGCCGCGCTGAGCCCAGACCTTGTAAAACAGCAGCCTCTTAGATGACTTCCCTCTCTGCTCACATCCCGAGTGTCCTGCTCTGGAGTTCAGGAAAAGCCTTAGCTACAACCACAAGCCCTCCACCCACACCACACCTCCGGCGCCCTCACCACTCATAAGTCTATCCAAATTGGGTGGGGAATGGGGTTCAGTGAAATGATCTGTGGGGCAGTGGTGTGAGGCAGACCCACTGGCACACTCCATTTTCGTTTTGGTTTGGTATTTTCTTTTTAAAACCTGTGCCTGAAAAGAAAATCCATCCAAGAATGTGAGAAGCCCACTCTCCCATCCCAACGTAGTTTGAGGATAGCAAAGTAGAGAGACCAGGAAAAGGTAGAACAGATAGTTTTTAAGACGGCTTTTCTACCCAAAATGTCACAAGCCTATCTTTCTTCTTTACTGGATGCAATATAAAAATTAAGTGTAGATGTCCATTAACAAGCTGTTTTAGTATCTTTGTACGACAGACCTCAAAGAACCTGGATTTAGATACAAATAGAATGAGGAATGTGAGGGAGTTGGGTGGGGTTGGGTTATGGATCCATACCGGGGATTAGAACCAGATGGGCAAAAAGCGCGCGCGCGCGCGCACACACACACACACACACACACACACACACACGCGCGCGCGAAGATGCTAGGGTGCACGGAAAAACGCCTCCTGAACAAATAGACATTTATTTATAACTCCGGGGAGAGTATATAGGTCCATTGATTCCCGCCTTAAGTAACCAAGGGTTTTGGAGAGGAAATGGCTTCATATTTCAATAACAGAGCCACCTTTGATGAAGCCTAAGGAGGGGGAAAAAAAGAAACACACCGCAGGAAACTAAAGGCTGTTGGAGCAGCGGTGGGGAGGAGGGTGCGGGTCAGGCTCGGGACTGAGGACAAGCAAACCGCCTGAGGGCCGTTTAGCCGGAGAAGGAGCCTGAGAACCGCGGCGCGCGCGCAGGGCGCAGGGACAGGGACAGGGACCCCGCCTGCGGCGTGCGGCGCTGCTCCTGGCCGCCGGAGAGGCGCAGACTGGTCAGCAGGCTCCTCCCTGGCTGTTGCCTCGGTCGCTTCCGCTGGGGCACATTGGGACCCGGGACACTGGAGGGCCAGGAGCCGGTGGGCAGGGTGCAGCTGGGTCTGGGAAATTCGTGGAACTGAGGAGCTAAGGAGAGGAGGGGTCTTGGGGGGCAGGAAGACGTGTGAAGTAGGCCGGTGATGTGCTGGCGGGGCAGAGGACTGGCGAAGTAGGGGCATGTGGCGCAGTGACTGATGTGACCGGAGGACCCAAGTGGTAAAGGTTCAGTAGAGAAGGCACGCTCTGTGCGGAAGGCAGCGAGCGGCGCTATTGTCTTAGATATAAAGCCTAAACCACTATCTTGGTGGCTGTTTCTGGCTCTGGACAGAGGCGAGAAAGAGATCTCAAACTTGGGGGGGGGGGGGGGGGGGGGGGAAGCAGCAGATTCGTCCTGCCTTTTCTTGATATATTTCACCCCTTAATGGCACCAAACTCGCCCTGCCCTTGCCATTCGCGCCTGTGGTAAATTAGCACGTGCTCCTTTGGAAAAAATTGCTTTCCAAAGAATAACTACTCACACAGTCTTCCATTAAAGATCTTGGTATTTGAAATGAAATAATAAAGAATCCTCTAAAAGGCGACTCAATATCATTTTGGAATTCCAATTGCTAGGCAATGAGTCTCTCTTCAAGTTTTGGGGTTTTCTCCTCCACACAGGAAACAGCCAAAGGTTTTGTAATTGTATGTTGTTAATTTCATAGCTATTGAGAGAGCTATAGTTATGTTGGCTCCCACATTAGCTGCCAATAAAAAGTAAGACACATCTCTGCTTTTCCACTGTGAAGAGATTTTTAATGCCAGTTTGGGTAAATGTTTGAGGCGGTCTGCATTTTAAAGAACATAAAAGAAATTAAACAAAAAAATAATAGTGCATTTTTTTTTTTAATATGAAAGCATCATAAAGATGGTGAGACTGATGACGCATGGCTATTGAACCATATAAAGATGTCTTAAATGCTGATTTCTGTTTCCTTGGCTTAAAAATGGAATTTCTGGGGGCTGCCTATGGAGAAAATCAGATCAGCCTGACCGTAGAAGGCACTTACTTCTTATTTTGGAGTTTTGACATTTATTCCAGCTATGGCAAAAATGGGGAAAAAAAATTCTTTCCAAAAATTGTTCAGTCGCAAACAGAGACGATCTGTTTTGCAACTTGAGACACATCACAGTGAGTTTAGATATATGTACATATAAACATTTTTTTTCAGCTATACCCCCCAAATCGAAATAATGCAAGGGAAAAAACCATTCCAGTCGAGTTGTATATGTTTCCCAAAGTAATGACAATTGCTTACCTTTACTCTCAGGACAGGAGTTATCCTGTCAGTACCCCACAACTCCACTTCCAACCTCCCCTTCCCTCTTGTCTACTTATTAGTCTTTGTTAAAAAGAGCTACAGTATTTTTAATCACAAAAATTTGACCTGCCAATAGTGTGTGCTTTAAGGGTTTTCAGACTTAATTTAGTTGACCTTACATACATACCTGTCATTTGTAGGTTTCTATTGCTTTTAACTACTTAAATTTACATTGGAATAAGCTTTAAGAGTTTGTGGTGGTGTTTTAGTGTTTTGGGTTTGTTTTATTTTTTTAAATTCCTTGTTTAGTGACTCAATGTTCAGCTAAATAGAGGTATAGAATTACTCTGATTGGTCATTTTAAATTTTTCATCAAGCCACAGGTATTCTGATAAACTGCACTACAAAAATCAAATAATGTAAGGAAGTTAAACATATGGATCTATTTTCCTGACTTTAAATATTGTATGAAGGTATTTTTTTTTTCTCGTTATTCTATACAGAGTGGACGCTGATTCACAGCTAGCTTATTATGTCATACAGAATGAAATGTTGCCTGGTACAAAGATGAAAATTGTTAAAATATAACTATACATTTAAGAAGCCACAAATATATTTTCAAAGTTGCACAATCATGTTGAAAAATTGTATAATTATGTATCTAATTATTAAGATTAGCTTTATCATAATAATTAGATAATTATTAAGATTGGATTTAGTGGCCTAGTGAGTAAGGAGCAAAGCTGCCAATCTTTGGGTTGTACAGTACAGTACAAATCCACCAGTTGCTCTGAAGGAGAAAGATGGGCAATTGGGAATCTCCTGAATGATTTATAGCCTCTGAAAACCCAATGGAAGGTCAGCTTTTAGTCACTCTAACACCATAGCCCATAATAATAACAATTCACGTGAAAATTCTATCTTCCATCAGGGTTCAAAATTTGGAAAGGAGTTTGTCAGGGATGCATCCTGTTTCCACACCTTTTCAATCTGTATGCAGATCAGATCATTCAGGAGGCTGGATTTCATGAGGAGGAATGTGGCATAAGGATTGGAGGAAGACTCATCAATAACCTGCTTTATGCAGATGACACAACCTTGCTTGCTGAAACTGAGGGGGACCTAAAGTGTTTGCTGCAGAAAGTCAAGTCTGATTGAAGCTCAAGGTCAAGGACACATAGATTCCTCTCTACTGGATTAATTGGCAGCACCATGATAGATGGAGGAGAGATTGAGGGTGTTACAATTTCAGTTTGCTCAGCTCTACAATCAACACTCTTGTCACTAGCAGTCAGAAAATCAAAAGACGAATTGCTTTGGGGAAGTGTGCTGTCAAGGACCTCTCCAAAGTGTTAAAGTGCAATGATGTCTGTCTGGAGACTGAGGTGCACCTCATCCAGGCCATGGTCTTTGCAATTACTTCCAATGCATCAGAGAGCTGGACGATGACTAAGGATGGCAGAAGAAGAATGGATGCCTTTGAGTTCTAGTGCTGGAGAAGAGTATTGAACATACCATGGACCACCAAGAGAATAAACAGATCTGTATTGGAGAGGGTGAAATTAAGTTTCTCCTTGGTGACAAGGATTTTGAGGCTCCAACTTATATATTTTGAACACGTGGACAGGAGGGACCAGTCCTAGGAGAAGAACATCTTGCTTGGATGGGTGGAGGGACAGTGCAGGAGAAGACACTGGATGAGATGGATTGACACAGTAACTGGGCTAATGTAAGTTGTGTTGGTGTCAGTGAGACTGTCTCAGGATAGGGCAGAGTTCAGAACTATGAGTCACAGGTGACTTGATAGCACAAAACAAGCAACAATCTGAAAAAAACAGGAAGTGGCAAAGGGAGAGTAGGCTGAAAAAGAGGAAGGGAGGAAATCACTAGGATAGCAGAGGTGAGTGGCTGGATAAAGGGGAAAAGGAATAGGAAAGATTCAATGAGGACTTGAAAAGATGGAGTCATACTAGGTACAGATCAATAGTGGTTAATTATATAAATTACAATGTGTGTGAATAATTATATAAAACAAAATGCACATACATGAAACACAATGTACATTAATATACACAAACCAACAAAATATAAAATAGATATAGGAAGGCTAGTCTTTTTGAACTTCAAGGAAAAAATTCATTTTCCTACCTTAATAGTTAAAATTATTTTTGTGCAACAACAAAAAACACACTCAAACGCTACCAGCAATTAGCCCAAAAAAGCACTCAAATGAGTCAGAATCAAGTAATAGCTGAGCCTTGAGTGGTTTTCTGAGGCAGTAAACTGCATGGGAGGAGATTGGTCAACATTCACCTGAAGAGCAGCTG